AAGGGGGGGGGGGGAGAATGTCCTACCTATGGCAAACTGACAGGGGGAAAAATGTCCTACCTATGGCAAACAGACAGGGGGAAAAATGTCCCACCAATGGCAAACTGACAGGGGGGAAAAATGTCTTACCAATGGCAAACTGACAGGGGGGAAAAATGTCCTGCCTTAGGCCATTTTTCCCCCTGTTAGTTGGACAATCTGTGGCAAAAAGACAGGGGGAACAATGGCCTATCTGTGGCAAAAAGACAGGGGGAAAAATTGTCCTATCTATGGCAAACTGACGGGGGAAAAATTGTCCTATCTATGGCAAACTGACAGGGGGAAAAGTCCTATCTATGACAAACTGACGGGGGGGGGACTGTCCTGTCTTTGGCCAACTAACAGGGGAGAAAAATGGCCTATCTGTGGCAAAAGGACGGGGAAAATTGTCCTAGTTGTGGCCAAAAGACAGGGAAAAAGGGCCTAACTGTGGCAGACAACGCAAAGGGGGAAAAGACCGGGAGGAGGGAAAAAATGTCCTATCTATGGCAAACTGACAGGGGGAAAAAGTCCTATCTTTGGCAACCAGACAGGGAGGAGGGAAAAATGTCCTATCTATGGCGAACTGACAGGGGGGAAAAGGTCCTATCTATGGGTAACTGCCAGGGGGAAAAATGTCATCTGTGGCCAACTGACAGGGGGAAAAATGGTCTATCTGTGGCAAAAAGTCAGGGGGAAATGTCCTATCTGTGGCAAACAGACTGGGGGGAATGTCCTGTCTGTGGCAACGAGACAGGGAGGAGGGAGAAAATGTCCTATCTGTGGCATACGGTCTTGGGGGTGTTCTATATGTAGCAAACAGACGTGGGGAGGATGTCCTATTTGTGGCAAACAGTCTGAGGGAAATGTCCTATCTGTGGCAAACAGTGTGTGTGGGGGGATTTTCCTATCAGTGGCAAACAGTCGGGGGGATGTCCTATCTGTGGGAAACAGACTGGGGGGAATAACCAATCTATGGCAAACAAACGGGTGATGTGTCATATGTGGCAAACAATTAAGTGTTGAGGCAAACAACTTGGTGATGTCAAATATGCGACAAACAATTCAGTGATGTCAACTATGTGGCAAACAACTGGGTGATGTCAATCATGTGGCTAGATGACAATGTGATGCCCTAGATATTAAGTTGTTAATAAAAAGACAATTATCAAGCAGATATTTTTTTTCTTACAAAACCATAACTGGTAGAAAATGACAGTATGTACTATGGCAATAGAAACTGTACTGATGAGCCTGTTACAACAAAAATTACTATGGACAATGCAATAGAGCAATACGTGAGCCCACAGAAAAATTACCCCTCTGCCCTTGAACCATGCACCTTAAAGTATTCTTCAGGTGGGCCACGGTTGACAGCGCAAATTAACTTATTGGATCTAAAACTAAACATTGTATCAAGAAAGTCCTCTACTTCTACAACAGTAAACAAAAGATATATGCACACTTCAAAACATAAACACAAGTATTCCACTTTATTGTTTGGTAGGATAAATAGTTAAAATTATTCATAAGCTTAAGTTCTGTCCATTACTACTAAAACTACCAGAAAATAAGTGGACTTGTCTGTTTATGTTCGTATTGTACCAGCATCAAGACAAGACTGTATAGATAGTGTATGAGCTAAATGGTTGTGGATTCTGACTGCTTAGGTCAGAAAGATCCTTTCTTTTTTGTTAAGATTAATAGGAAATGATGGTTAGAGTGATGTTTATCGATCTATGCACTAAAGTGGACTCAAACAAGCGTTCAAATTCTACCATTCAGTAGGTCGACCTGAGCCCTCCTTTAAAAGTAAAAGACAAACAACTTTGATTTGTTGATCAAAATGCAGAGACAATATAAACCAATCAGTGTTTAGCTTCTGAAATATAATAATCATAAAGTAATAATTCTGATTGCTCCATATTATGACTGCAATAAAATCAACCAATCATTTTTATTGGACAGATACAAGCCTTGAAATTATGATATTTCTAACAAAAGGTGGTTGATGATTGACACTCGGATATAAACAACATTTAACAACACAAAAACTAAATAACAATTCATCCACACAGTAAAGCATCAATATCTGTGCATGCTTAGGAATGCTCCAAATCCTAAAGACAAGCAGTCTACTATATTAACGTTTTATGTGTATGGGGGGCAATGATGGCATCAATTTGCACCATTTCAATTTTCAATCAGACGTCAGTGGTTCCTGGAATTCCCCTATGTATTTGATGACATCACTAATCACGAAATTTGCTTCATCACATAAGACCCTTCGCGATTAGTGACATAATGAAACAGTTTTTGTAGAATCGCACGAACCACCGACATCTGATTGAAAATTGGAATGGTGCAAATTGATGCTATCAGTGTCCCCGATACACATACAAAATTTAGAAAAACCTCTTTGCAGACCCTTTAAGCACTAATGAACACTATGTAAAGATGTGTATGTGGAGATACAAAGTGAAATATCAGAATAAGCAAATGTTGTCTGAATATAATCCTTACTGTTTGTTTCTCCATTATCAATAATCATTTGCAATACATGGCACTAGACACGAAAATTCATCTACTCATACTACAAAAAGTGGACTGTTTGTGTTTTGTCCTAAGGGTTTGTTCGCGCTTAGTGCAGAGCAGGGTGGCGCAAGGAAGAGCTAGATACGGTCGTTCACATATAAGTCCTGAAATCAATCATTAGCTATGGAGGATTTTGTATGTGTGTTTCTATGACTCTTTTGCCATTCTGAACTAATTGAATGGTGGACAACTGTTTGCTGCGAGCAGTAACATATAGTCCAAGTTCCCAAGCTCTCTTCAGCCCCGCTTGCGGAACAACTAACTAGACATTAATGCAGCTACTTATCGCTCTGCTCTGCTCAGCTTGTAGTGTGAACGAACCCTAAGGGTGTGGACACACAAACAGTCTTGGTTACTGATTTTTGTCCCTGACTAAAGAATCCTTGTAAACAGATTCACCTACTAGCTGCTGACACGAGGAGACACAGAATTTGCAGTCGGTCATTTTCCATTATGTTGATAATCACATGCAGATCATGTTTTTGAAAGGAAAATGAATCTGATTGGATGATGAAGCTCTGTCTTGCAGATGTTAAAATAATTTGTGACAAATATCAAACCAGTACGATATTATAAATATTGTCAGCAACGCGATAATCTTGTCGTTGAAGCGCAGGTACATGTGAGATATTACTGAAGATTAAGTCAGTGACAAAAATCAATGACCAAGACTGTTCATGTGCTCACACCATTAAACATGTTCAAGTATCTTTGATCGAATAGAAATCTCTTAATAACAAATTACTGTGTCTATTTCATTGGCATTTTCAAAATATTTCGGCAAGAAAAACAGAAAAATCAAAGCATCATCATCTACATACCACAGCCTCTCATTGCATGTCACATAGCTGTAGATTCATTGGACACATTTTAGCTCGTGAGGTCATTGGATTTGATTGGATTATTTTGATGAAAAAATTTTAACCAATGGAAAGCATTGTATCAAAAGCAACAAGTGATCACTTTTGAAAAGAAACTTTTCATTGGTTAAATATGACATATAATGAGCAGACCGTAGAATCTTGATGATGTCATCAAACATGATTTCATTTACCCTAGTCATATAACTAAAAATAAAAGCAATCTTAAGAAAACTGAATATATAATGAAGTTATTCTAATGGGTAGTAACTACAGACCAGTTATTCTAATGGGTAGTAACTACAGACCAGTTATTCTAATGGGTAGTAAATACAGATCAGTTATTCTAACGGGTAGTAAATACAGACCAGTTATTCTAACGGGTAGTAAATACAGACCAGTTATTCTAATGGGTAGTAAATACAGACCAGTTATTCTAATGGGTAGTAAATACAGATCAGTTATTCTAACGGGTAGTAAATACAGACCAGTTATTCTAATGGGTAGTAAATACAGACCAGTTATTCTAATGGGTAGTAAATACAGATCAGTTATTCTAATGGGTAGTAAATACAGACCAGTTATTCTAACGGGTAGTAAATACAGACCAGTTATTCTAATGGGTAGTAAATATAGACCAGTTATTCTAATGGGTAGTAAATACAGACCAGTTATTCTAATGGGTAGTAAATACAGACCAGTTATTCTAATGGGTAGTAAATACAGACCAGTTATTCTAACGGGTAGTAAATACAGACCAGTTATTCTAATGGGTAGTAAATACAGACCAGTTATTCTAATGGGTAGTAAATACAGACCAGTTATTCTAATGGGTAGTAAATACAGACCAGTTATTCTAAATAATAAACTTAATAAGCTTGATAACAAATAACCACTTTAAAGGGATTGAAAAGAGGTTTTCTAAGATTGTTATGTTTAATTTTCAATCAGATGTCTGTGTCTCCTACAATTCCACTAAAACTAAGTGTTTGATGATGTCACTAATTCTGAATGTTGTCATGTGATAACGGATATTTGGTATTAGTGACATCATCAAACACTTAGTTTTAGTGGAATTGGTGAAAATTTGTGCTATCAGTGTCCCCAATACACATAAAAGTTTTAGAAAACCTCTTTACAATCCCTTTAAATAGTTTATAATATTACAAGGAGTTTACTAGGTGTTTGGACGCTTATGGCTTAAATTTGCACCAATGCAAAATTAATCCCAATACATGGTATTTCAGTTGTGACATCATAATCTGGTTAAGTTCCTGTGGAATTACAAGAACCACAGACTGACGTTTCCAAAGAAAACGGAATGGTATACATAAAGAAAATCTATTGAAAGAGTATGACTCAATGCAGTGAGTAATGAGGAAAATTTTGTAAGACAGCAACATTAAACCAAACTTTTGCAGAACCTTAGACAAAAAACTGACAGAAACCAGACCTCCTTTAAAGAGATTGTAAAGAGGTTTTCTTAATTTATTATGTGAATCAGGGACACTGAAACCACCAATTCTCATCATTCCAAAAGAAAATTTTTGATGACGTCACTAATTCCAAAAAATATGCTTTATCACATAAGACCCTTCGCAATTAGTGACACCATCAAACACTTTTTAGTTTTAGTGGAATTGCAGGAACCACAGACGTCTGATTGAAAATTGGAATGGTGCAGATGTTATCAGCGTCACATAATAAATTTAGAAAACTTCTTGACAATCCCTTTTAGAAATATACATTATCTATGAAAACGCTCCTTAGAGATATACCTCCTTTAAAAATGCAACATTAAAGGAAATGTCTCCTTTAAACTGTAATAATAATTGTAAGATTGTAACGTAAATGTGACACAAGACATGAATAATATGGTATTGTACCATTGGTACCATTAATATATATATACAATAGAAAATATGGTCTAGATTGGTATATATACTGTATACTTCATTGCAACACCAAGCCAACCTACAAAATAAAACACTGTATAACATCTACAATGACTATTTCAATGACTTATCATTATATATCCACAGTACTGGTTTTTCAAAGATTGTGCAGGAAAGTAAAACTATGTAGTGTGTTAAACTTGATCATTAAAGGGATTGTAAAGAGATTTTCTAAAATTTATTATGTGTATTGGGAACACTGATAGCATCAATTTGCACTAAATTTTCAATCAGACGTGATTCCTGCAATTCCACTAAAACTAAATATTTTATGACGTCACTAATCGCATAATATACTTTATCTTATAAAGCCCTTCTCCATTAGTGACGTCATCAAACACTTAGCTTTTGTGGACTTGCAGGAACCACAGCTGTCTGATTGGAAATTGGAATGGTGCAAATTGATGCTAATAGTGTTCCCAATACACATAAAAAAAAGTTAGAAATCCTCTTTACAATCCCTTAAATGTGCACAGTCATTTTCTTGTCCCATCCAAACAACCAGAACCTTTCTCAACTTCAACCCGTCTAACCTGTATCACTTAAAGATGGGTTTCCTTATTTTCTTAGTTTCAAAATAAGGAAAATTATTTGATTAATTGGTGTTTCAAATGAACTATCATGTATTCTTAATCATATCATTATGTTCTTATTGCATATAATTAAGAGTTTTAACCAATCAGAAATGTCCATTTATGTACAGTCTGGATAAACAAAACAAAAAAGATTGGTCACTCATTGGAATTCTGCTGGTAATTCTCTTCTAATTTAGCTAATTATGAATTAATTATGGACATGTAAGACAAACTGGTATTTTTTCAAGTCATTATAACACCTCTACTTTCTATTCATATAAGTATTAGCATTTTCATTTTCAAAAATGAAAATAAGGGAACCCATCTTTAGAGGGGAAAACGGAAATAAATTGGAACTGTGTTACGTTTAAAGTCAGCAAACAAGCGTCACTTTGCTAAATCACCCAGACTTAATTTTGCCAGAACAGTGAAAGCTTAACTATAAATCTGTAAGATTTAAAACTGACAATCCATTGTAATCTTAACGAGATTTATACTGATGTCACGTACTGTTGACGTTTCAAGCAACACTCGCCACTCATCAGCCAATCAGAATCACTATTACAAGTGAGTATCAGCAGTCTCATAATTTCATTCGCTCTTTTTTGGTTTTGCACAATTGATAAATGATATTTAGACATGGATTCTGCTTGACGCGTTGTGTTTGGTTGAAATGAATTCAACAGTACACAACCTTGGTATAAATCTTTTAAGATTACACTGGAGACTGACTCAAAATAAAAACAGAACAAAATCATCAGACATACCTGTGACGTGTCCATAGAAGGACATTTCCAGTTATACAGATAATACTGAAGATTACCATCTCCCATTCCAAATTTTAATTCTTCTAAAAATTTCTTATTGTCCATTAAATCTAGAGCATTAAATACATCAAACTCCATCTAAAATATAAATGTTTTAAATTGGAAATCATTCAAAGGATAACCCTGAAACATGAAGTATGTAAAAGGCTAAAAAAATGTAGCTATTTTAGGCCAAAGGGATTTTTAACCTGTTCTGTTCTAATTACAATATTTTAATTAACATTTGAAGCCATTTCTAAACCATTAAATGTGAGGCTTTGTTAAAATATTTGGCTTTTTTAAGAAATGTTAAGATTCAAGATAGCTTGCCAGACAAGGTAATATAAACTCACTGGCAACTGATTTTTAAATAAAGATAGCTTGCCAGGCAAGGTAATATACGCCCACTGGCAGCTTTGATTTTATATAAAAATATTTAGCAGTACAGTAACAATCACCAGTATGAAATATTCAACCTTCAGTCATACACTTCTTTTGAACTTTTTGAGGCGGTACTGAATAATATTACCAAGTTTCATCAAAATCTGTCATGTACTGGGCTTTCTAGAGAGTTTACATGCTAAAACTTAAATGCGTTTTTAAGAAAAAGGGCAAAAAGTTAAACAGGGTCAAAATCAGTCAAGAATTGTGCCTTCTAGTATGTTTAGAAGCAATCGTGGACGGACTGACTGACAGACAAGGGTGATGACAATATATGCCCATCATTTCATGTGGGCATATAAAAATGGTTTTGAACTATGCTCGTGTGTGTTATTTACATGTAAGAACTATACTATGAGCTTCCTTAAACAGTAATAGAGGGGCTGACATGGAAAAAGAGTCTAGTCGTTTGGATGGGACAATAAACCGAGGCCCTGTGTGCTACAGGCTGTGCATGTTAAAGATCCCCAGACAGTTGGAAATAGAAAAATAACAGGCTAATGCCGCTGTCCTGGCAAAATTTTCCTCATTGCTCCCTGCATGGCGTTGCCCGTCTTCATTAGCCCACATGGTGTAGAAAAGTAGGATGTAATACTCCATTTCATTTCATTTGAACAGAAATAAATTTGAGAAGAAAATGGTAAAGTAAATAAAACTTACACTTTTGGCAACAACCAGGGTGTCTAAAATCAGGTCTTTCCAGGGTGTTCCAGAACTCACATTATAAAAGGAGTAAGCAGCTTTTAAATTCTTATGTGTAGGGTGGTGCATGACAGATGAGGACAGTGTGTAAAAGCTAACAAAATCAGTGATCTTTCCATTTTTCTGAAATTAAAACCCCCAAAATTAACTATCAAAAATACAATACAATGTGTTCAACAAGGGATATTAAGGCAGAACAGTTAGCCGATGTTTTGAGCTGTTTTTTGGTCAAGGGATATTCAACATGTAAAGCCAGTAGCACAAGAGGCCTGTTTATTATTCCATCAGAACAAGACGCCCTTTTATTAATGTCAGACCATGAACAAAGGAAAACCCAACGTGACCTCGGGTTTGTGATTGTGATTGTAAAGAGGTTTTCCAATTTTCATTCAGACGTCTGTGATTCTTGCAATTCCTCTAGAACTAACGTGTTTTATGACTTCACTAGAGGGGAGCTACCAGAAGCTACTATTGATATCTATGCAGTTCATTCGGCCAGAGATTCAACCAACTACAGAGGTTCAATGGACCAATGTGGTTCAATCGTCTTCAGATGTCACCCAAAGTGAGGCAAAGGATCTACCTCCAGCTGTCCAGCCGGTCTCAGCCAAGAGTAAAAACTTTCCCAAAATCAAAATTTTCTTTACCTCGACAACATAGCTGTCCACAATACCTTGTCTAGGTGTGAACCAGTAATCAAAATCATCCAATGAAAACACTGCTGACAAATCAAACTTGGACAAATACTAGAAAAAAAAAACGAACATTAAGCATACACTCTGACCTTAAAGGGAAAGATACACCATTTTGGGGTGTTGAATTGAGTCTTGAATATATGTAAATAGTCTTCAGAAATGAAATGAATGGAGTTTTACGCCCTGCTTTTCTGCACCATGTGGGCTAATGAAGACGGGCAACACCATGCAGGGTGCGATGAGGGAAATTTTGCCAGGACAGCGGCATTAGCCTGCTCGTTTTCGATTTCCAACTGTCGAGGGATCTTTAACGTGCACAGCCTGTAGCACACGGGGCCTCAGATTATTGTCCCATCCGAACGACTAGACGCTTTTTCCATGTCAGCCCCTCTTACCTGCATCACTGACAGGGGGAAACCGGGTTGAAAAATCCGAAGGTATTATCTCGACCTATGTCGGGATTGAACCCTAGACCTTCAGGTTAGTGAGCAAGCATCTTAACTCACTGAGCCACCGCGGCTCCCAAATAGTCTTCAGAAGTACTAGAAATGTATGAATATCGCATAATTCCTTTATAAATATCTCAAACTAGGAATTTCATTTGTTTTTTCTATACATGACAAAGTCTCAAGAAAAGACGAGTCAACTTTATAATTTTCTAACATAGATAATTCTGGACACACATGGATTTGAAGGCTCAAATTTTGACGGTGAGCTGTAAATACTATTAATGATTGGCTTAGTTCAAAAATTCCCATTTCTAAGAATAGGGCAGTGACTTTTTTATATTTTCAATAGAACACATTATACACTTCAATAAACTTACTTTGTTAAGAAGTTTATGACACTGTTGTATATCTGTAGGTTTATATGGCCGGAAACCTGCAGTTTTAGGTACCTACAAAAAATGAAAAAAATTCATTTAGCAGACGTCACATTCAAACAAGTGGTTACCGAGCAGGATATGCCCACTTTCCTGATACGTTTTCAGTATATCAAGGGCAGTCACATATCTGTGTCAAATCATACCAAAAATCTAATTTGTGCAAGATATTGTTGATTTAAACAAACACACATTATTTAATAAAATTCTGACATAAACTGTCACCTCTATCGCGTTCACAAGCCAACAAATTTTGATGATTTTTACTAAATCAAGGGCAATAACTAAAAAACGTTCATTGAAAGATCGTCACATTCGAACTTCTCTAAGACCTCATCATGATACTTGATCATACCAAATTTCATTTAAATCGGATGAAAAATGTTGTCCCTTTTGTGTTCACAAACAAATTTTGTTGAGTATTTCGTAACTCAAGGGCAATTACTCAAAAACCGTTCATCGAAAGATCGCCATATTCAAACTTGATCACACCAAATTTCATTTAAATCGGATGAAAACTGTAGTCTCTATTGTGTTCACAAACAAATTATATTTTATAAAGTGGGCGTATAAAAATGAAATGAATGGAGTTTTACGTCCAACTTTTCTGCACATTGAGAGCTAATGAAGACAGGCAAAGTCATGCAGGGTGCAATGAGGGAAATTTTGCCAAGACAAAAATCTTAATGGTGGTCTTATATCGATCGACATGTGAATTTCTGATAACCATGTATAGATAATCCAAGAATGACCAATGTCCTGATTGGTAAACAAGATCCTTGAAAAACTGTTTTACTTTTATCATTAAAGGGATTGTAAAGAGGCTTTCTTATTATTTTTGGTGAACTTTTTGCATTAATCCAATTTTCAATCAGACGTCTGAGGTTCCTGCAATTCCACCAAAATTAAGTGTTTGATGATGTCACTAATCGCAAATGTGCTTTATCACACAAGGTCCTTCACGATTAGTGACGTCATCAAACACTTAGTTTAAGTGGAATTGCAGGAATCACAAAAGTCTGATTGAAAATTTCGAATGGTGTAAATTGATGCTATCAGTGTCCCCGATTCACATAAATTTTTTTAGAAAACCTCTTAACAATCCATGTTACTTACCTCTGGGAGTTTATATAACTTTAATGTTCTCTGCATTGTCATATTTCTACTCAGATGAGAAAACTTAATGTCAATCAATTTACGCGGATTTAACGACCTGTGCCAATATCTGAAATACAAAAACAATGGAGTTTTTACCTCATCATGGTACTGAAAACAAACTGGAACTGGTTTTGGAATATCATTAAGATGTTACTGACAAACTGAATCTAGTTTTGAAATAACAAACATAAGTAACTGGTTTATGAAGAACAAGTATAATTACCTACAAACTGAAACTGGTTTAGGAAGGACACATAGAACTTACCTACTAACTGAAACTAGTTTGGAATAACAAACCTCTGACAAACTGTAACCGGTTCAAGAAGGACAAGTAGAACTTACCTACTAACTGAAACTAGTTTGGAATGACAAACCTCTGACAAACTGTAACCGGTTCAGGAAGGACAAGTAGAACTTACCTACAAACTGCAACTGGTTTGGAATAACAATCATCTGACAAACTGAAACTGGTTTAGGAAGGACAAGTATAACTCACCTACAAACTGCAATTGGTTTAGGAAGGACAAGTATAACTCACCTACAAACTGCAACTGGTTTGGAATAACAAACATCTGACAAACTGAAACAGGTTTAGGTTAGGAAGGACAAGTATAACTTACCTACAAACTGCAACTGGTTTGGAATAACAAACACTGACAAACTATAACTGGTTTAAGAAGGACAAGTAGAACTTACCTACAAACTGCAACTGGTTTGGAAAAACAAACATCTGACAATCTGTAACTGGTTTAGGAAGGACAAGTAGAACTTACCTACAAACTGAAACTGGTTTGGAATAACAAACATCTGACAAACCATAAATGATTTAGGAAGGACAAGTAGAACTTACCTACAAACTGCAACTGGTTTGGAATAACAAACATCTGACAAACTGTAACTGGTTTAGGAAGGACAAGTATAACTCACCTACAAACTGCAACTGGTTTAGGAAGGACAAGTATAACTCACCTACAAACTGCAACTGGTCTGGAATAACAAACATCTGACAAACTGAAATAGGTTTAGGTTAGGAAGGACAAGTATAACTCACCTACAAACTGCAACTGGTTTGGAATAACAAACATCTGACAAACTGAAACAAGTTTAGGTTAGGAAGGACAAGTATAACTCACCTACAAACTGCAACTGGTTTGGAATAACAAACATCTGACAAACTGAGACAGGTTTAGGTTAGGAAGGACAAGTATAACTTACCTACAAACTGCAACTGGTTTGGAATAACAAACATCTGACAAACTGAGACAGGTTTAGGTTAGGAAGGACAAGTATAACTTACCTACAAACTGCAACTGGTTTGGAATAACAAACATCTGACAAACTGTAACTGGTTTAGGAAGGACAAGTAGAACTTACCTACAAACTGCAACCGGTTTAGGAAGAACAACCCCAGCAGTATAAACAGCCTGAAATAAGCCTTGTTTGTGAACTCGACGTGTGATCTCTTTAATCAACACTGGGGCCATTCGTTTGGATCTCAACTTCTTATGTACACACAGAAAATTTATTTCCACCATTTTCTTTGTTCTGTAAATGTCAATAAACAACTGTTTTTTAAAAAAGTAAGTACAGAAAAGAAAGACACAATGTTTCTATGGAGGAAATCGCAAACCACCAAAACAGTCCAATAGATATCTCTTACAGGGTCGGGTTCCCATTTGATTTGGGTCTTGAATATATGTAAATAGTCTTCAGAAGTACTAGAAATGAACGAAAATCACATAATTCCTTCAAAAATACCTCAAACTAGGAATTTACTCTCTATTTCTACATATGGCAGAGTTTCAAGAAAAGACGAGTCGTCATCTTAACTTTCGAACTATAATTCTATAATGGATAATTCTGGACATGCATAGATTTGAAGACTCAAATTTTGACATAAAAGCGTTTTTCAATAATCATTTAGTTTAATGGATGTATTGTGTTATATAGAGATTCTATTCTTTAGTTATGGTACCTGGTAAGTCTAACTGATGAATATATACACTTATTGACCAAGTTTGAGACTTTAAATTTGATGTCTATCCTAAGAGGTAGTTGCTATAGAATAACAAGATTTATAGAATAACAAGATTTATAGAATAACAAGATTTATAGAATAACAAGATTTATAGAATAACAAAATCAAATGTCTGTAGACTTACTTATCATATATTTTAACATGGGCAGGAACAGCACTAATAAAGCCTACTAATTTATCACTCTTTATAACTCGTATTCCACAGTGCCAGTTCTGTAACCATCCTGGTGGCATCAATGCCCTGAAAAAATAACATATTCCTTTCAAAATACCCATAAAATTATCAGATATGTTAGACTATAAATGGGTGGTTTGGTTGATAAAATTAAACACTATAAGCTACGTGGCTATGAATGGATGCCAAGTTGATAAATCTCAACTAAAAGGACTGTAAGAAAAGGGTTGCATAATAGTCAAGAGATAAACCTAAATACCTAAAAGACATCATCAGCTATGTGGACTCTCTGAAGGGATGTTAAGATGACTGATTCATTAAGGTCGTTTAATGTCCTACTTTTCTTCTGAGCAACGACATGCAGTGGTCAACAAGGAAAATGAGAGACCAACATTAATCTACAGTGAAAAGGATTTCTAATATGCACACAGGTGACACACTGGACCTTGCAACTTCAAGGAAATGTAAAGAAGTTCTCTGAATTTTGTATGTGTATCAGGAACAATCAAGTATCAATTTGCACCATTCCAATTTTTAATCAGACATATGTGGTTCCTGCAATTCCACTAAAACTAAGTGTTTGACGATGTCACTAATCGCAAAATATGCTTTATCACATAAGTCCCATCATGATTAGTGAAGTCATCAACCATTTAGTTTTGCAGGAACCACAGACGTCTGATTGAAAATTGATGCTATCAGTATTCTCGATATACTTAAAAAATCTAGAAAAAAAATCCACAATGGACCAAATATTCAACATCCTAAAATAAAGTTGAACGGCAACACAAAGGTACTTACCATCTTAAAAATTCCGAAGAATAATCAAATCTAAACATATTGTCATCATCTTCTACATAGTTCTCATTTAATAAAGTATATAATTCTTTTAACTGAAAATATATATTCATAACTATAAAACATTTGTAGGCATTCTAAACTGTTATATCTAGAAATTTACAGCATATCCGGTCCACTTTATTTTGAAGTGGATAAGTGGAATAATAGCTATTGAAGCTACATAAGTAAGACTTTTGCTGCGAATATGCGAACAGTCTTGGTCAGGGATTTTTCAAGACTCCAGCCAGTCTTTTTTCACTATGTCGATAATCATAGATCATGCAATTGACTAGAAAATGAATCTGATTGGATGATGACACTTTGTCTTGCAGACGATATAATAATCGGTGACAAATATCAAACATGTTTGATATTATAAATCCTCTTGACAACACTATAATCTTTTTGAGCAAGTGCAGGCACACGTGAAATTTTACTCAAGATTCACGTCTGCTACATAAATCAGAGACCAAGACTGTTTTTATGTTTGCAACATTATTTGTTCTTATTTCTATCTACAAATAAACAAAAATTTTGCTTGTTTTTTTCTACAGCAGCCCATCTAATACAATCTTGTCTTGACCCAAAGGATCTGCTCATAAGGCAATATTCAATGCAAGATAAACTGCCCCAGGGGAGAAATAGACCCATTTATACAAGGAAAAACAAAATATTGATGACAAACCACAACTGGATCTTGTATGTCTAGTGTGTTCCATTTAAAACCGGTTGGTAACGTAAACGGTTCATCTCTAACTTCAGTGACGGGTTTATCCGGTTCTATGTGATCATTACCCACTACCTCCTCATCTGAAAGATACCAGTAAATTGAAAAGTTTAGAGTCATCATTATCTTTTTTTTCGATTTCTAACTTTACGGTAAAAGGGACCTCTCATTAATGAAAGATGGTGAACTGTAATTTTTTTCAGCGTATGACAAACATAGAGTCCTCATTCATTGTCCCAATCTACTATGCATGGCACTTGATTGAGGAGATCTGACCAGGTTCTGTTTGTTCCAATTCTGACCTCAAAAGAACGGTACGGAAGCAGACATAACACATTCAAAATTTTCCTATCTATTTCCTTCTCCACCATTTTGAATTTTGTCTGCACCTACTATTTCTTCAGCACTGTAAGTGGAACACGTTCTGAACTTAGTTTCAACTTGTTTTATTGAACATTCATGGAATTTCTATGTGCAGAACTCACCAATTGAGCAGCCCCATGTTGTCATGTTTTTTCCTCCTATCTAAGGATTTTATCACTCTTTCTCCACAAATGCTTTACAAATAAACATTATTTTTACCTAATTTGGGTACTGGCTGAGTCCTCCAGAACTGGAAAGTTTTTTTCTTGGCATCTTGAATAGTTTTAGCTGAATCTCTTATAGACAATAATTCTACAGCTCTCTGTATAGACTGTAATCCAGCTGCCTTCTGTTGCTGCATTTGTTTCAACTGATTCAGAGATACCTAATAATAATAATAATAATAGTATCAAATACCGGTACTCAAATATCCTACTGCTTCAAAAAAGATAGTGGACCACAGCCATATACGCCCAACGCGGCATGAGGATGATAAATATTAAAGATTTTGGGGCAAGGGCAATAAGTCTGCTTCTTACGGTCGAAAATGGCTCAAGTTCGAACTTGATCTTCATTTCTTTTGATTCCATCCATCTCTAGTTTTTAGAGCATTTACAAGCAAATGATGTTGATATAAGCACTTACTGTATAGAGGTTAAAGGGCGATAACTTCTCAAACTGACGTAAGAGGCCTAAATCTTGTAAAAGCCTTAAATTTAATCAGAAGTAAACTAAACTTTCTTAAACCTTTCAATTTAGGTCCAATAATATCCATTTTAAGTTTCATCAAATCGGTTGAAAACTAAGAGAGTAATAGCATATTCAAGATTTTGGGGCAAGGGCAATAACTCTGCTTCTAACGGTCGAAAATAGCTCAAATTCGAACTTGATCTTCGTTTTATGAATATGTATACGAATTTTATTTGATTCCATCAAAAACTCTAGCTTTTAGAGCGTTTACAAGCAAATGTTGATGGACGGACGGACAGGGTGCCGACAATAAACGTCCACATATAGAGATGAAGCATATTTTGTGATTAGTGACCTCATCAGACAGTTAGTTTTTTTTGGGAATTGCAGGAACCACAGACATCTGACTGAAAATTGAGATGGTGCAGATTTGAATTATTATTGTCCCCAATACATATTACACAGTTAGAAAACCTCTTTACAATCCCTTTAAGAATGAGATTTAAGAGTTCATAAAAGAAAATTTTAAATAAATTTGATTGTAAGACTTTGTGTGAAACTAGAGTCAAAACTTTTTCAAGTCTTTGAATGAAATTGTTTACATATATTACAGATTACTTAGCAAGTCAACTATTAGTAGATGGCTTACTTCCATACTGGGTAGAACTGGGATAGGACCAGGGTTGGGTAAAATAATCGATTATCGTCACTAGTATTTATAATTTTGGTATCCACTGTTAAATTAGTTATCTACTACCAGTAAGAGTAAATTCTTACTTACGCACAACTGAACAGATCTCATCAATGAATTTTCATAATTTGATACAAAAATAACCCATGGAATTTAGTAATCAATGCCCAGTCCAAGATGGAAAGTATGTTTTGATTAATTTCATTATCTCAGAAAAACTAAAAAAAAAGACCAACTCACCTCAGATAAATCATTATCATGTTCAGCATGATTGTGATCTGATGTACAATGGCGGTGATCATGTGCCTGACTTTCAGAATCTGCTTCGGCACCAGACTGTAGACTTTCAGACAGTCCCTCTGTTATTCTAATCTTGGTTTCCTGTTCATCTAATACAGCCTGACTGTCAGAATCTCCACTCGATCTCTCCATATCTTTTGGTTTTCTTCTTAATTTTTTCTTTTTGCGAGTTGATGATTCAATGCTAAAATGAAATTACCAACATTTTTTTTTAATTTCTTACTACCAGCTAGAAGTTATCTAGCACTATTGCCGGAGCAGAGCAAAAAAATTTTTGAATTTTTTCTGTATTTTTTAAAAGAAATAGAATAGGAATATTAGCCTCAAAATAGTACTAATAGTCTAGAATTTCTTTGTGTTGATATTTGTAAAATTACACTGAAAAAAACAAATATCCCTCCTAGAAATTTCTACCAGATGTAACATATGCTCATGTTTATATTTTTTATCAATGCAAAGGCATTCTAAGACTAACAGTATTATTTTGAGGCTGCTATTCCAATCCTCATAAAAATAATGGTAAAAATTCAAAATTTTTTTTTACTTTGCTCACACATCCTTACTGACTGATGAACAGACTACTGCAGAAATAAAGTTGTCATCAGACTTTGAGAATGTCACCAAATGAAGCAAGTTGGGTCATGTACCGTGAGACAGATTGACAAGACTTTGATTGATGCCATTTTATCAGGGCTAGATTTACCTCCTGTCTCCCCCTGGCAAATGTGACTATGCAAAAAATTGTGTAGGTTTGTAGTACAGGTGCAAGATCAAATAATCAATTGTTTTAGGACTCTGTCCCATTTCATTTGATTGGAAAAGCCAGACTATCACACTAGACCCTACATAAGTAAATTGAAGCCAATGAGGGCAATCAAACACAATATCAAACTAATATTTTTTTGCCATGTGAACAGATTTCCCAAGAATCGGGGCTGGTCAATGGTAACAAAAGTTATCTGTCTTTTTCTGTATGACCGAGTCTCATGTGTAGTCTACTGACTGTATTGCGAGTGAAATTTGTCAAAAGTCATGTCTGAGCTGATGAGTCTAAAAGCCGCATAGCTTCAGCCAGACACAGGGAATTATATGAATATCGAAGTCCTATGTGCAGTTAAAGTCAGATCTGCATATAACCTTTGATCATTCACAACATCGTCTTCGACATCACCGTCTTCGGCGCTCTGATCCGGATCCAAATCAGAACTCATGTCATGCAGTGAATCGACGTCAGCCATGATTGAAACTTAGCCTCGCAGCTAAAATTTTATTCACTGAACTTCGTTCAAGAATTCTTTAGAAGAAATGTGGGTGATTTTAAATGAAATGTTAATCCAATTAAAACTCTTCAGCCAAAATTGTCCGATCCATTAATTAATGAAGGATTAAATCCACCGGAAGTTTAATCAAATCACCGGAAATCTTCAAAGCAGCAACGGAGTTGACGCATGGGCAGACATTACGAGTCCTTGACAACAATAAACTTTCTAAGCTAATAAATCTCATTTTGTTTTTTAACCTTGATAAACTCAGTAAGAATGGCTACCAAACGCAAGAACCAAGAACAATTTATCCAGAATTTAACCAAAAACAGCAAAAATGGTCCAGGACATCCATGTCGCTGTAAGTAGTTTTGATATCAGACGCTTTTTACTACAAAAGTACAATTTTAGATCCGACTGGCCTACCTTAGGCTAGTGCTTTAACAAAGTTTAGTTTTGCATATAGGCCTATTTCAATTTTATCTGCAGCAGTTCAGGCATTTTCGTCTGCCTCAAGACAGATAATTCAATGCATATTCCATATTCCAAGTTTCTGATCAAAGTTTCTGTTCCAAGGAGTGGGATGAAATGAAAATGTCAAATGAAATTGAAAGTACTCTCTGACTAGGCCTACAGTCATATATTATTTTTGGGTTGATGGAAATGTCAACCACTGGAAAAATTATCATTTGTAAGCATGATTTTACACAGGGAAATTTCATTCCGAAAAGTAGGTTATTTTCATGTCAATTTTTGGGAGGAAATCTTATAGGAATCTTATATTTCTATAGATCCAAAGACATTCAAAGACAAATGGCATAAAGTTGAACATTTTTTTTTTGAATATTTATGAAATGAGAAAAAAACTTCAATGCTCAATGTAATCATTCATTCCTTTATTCATTCATTTCAGTTTCGCCACCAGAGATAGCGTCCTTATTAAACATGTTCAAACATCTGTGTGGTCCAGATAAGAAGAAGCTAGATAGACCAACTTTTAGAGATGTTTTAATCACCCGTTTTAAAATTACAGATGATTTTCTGATGGATAGAGGTTAGTAGACACTTTAAAAAAAATAATATCAAATGTATTTCCTTTTGTTGTAAATAAGGGTGAAAAATTTGACAGTTTCGAATATAAAGGGCAAAAACTTCTTTAAACTATTTTTTATTTTGTGTTATTTTTTAAAAAAAAGCTTTCCATCATTAATGCCCCTAAGCACATCTCTTTGTAAAGTAAAGACACAGGCTGAAAATTAGGTCAGTTGTCTGAAGATCGCATAGCATGAAACTCTGAGTAACAACAACACGTTTTTTTAGGTTCTGTTTTAATATTTCTATTTCTATATCGCTCTACAGTTGAAGTATTGAGCACTATTTTAACAGTGAAAACAATTTGGTGTCTATTAACAGTTTCAACAAATTACATTTAAACCCAAAGATTCTCTCTAGAGTGTATCAGAGCTAAAATTTGCATACCTTTTGAACCTTTTCCTGGTGGTGACATATCTTAATGTTAATATTATATTTTGGCAGTATTTAAAGCGTTTGATACAGATAATGACAGTTATTTAAAAGCTGAAGAATGGGTTCGAGGTTTATCAATATTTTTAAAAGGGGAAGTAGAAGACCTTATTAAATGTAAGTATTTTTCAAGTTAGGGACTTTGAATAATTTTGAAATTTAATGTTTGATTCGATTACCTTTGAATTTTAGCCAAATTTATTCAGTATAAATATTTTCGCAGGTATAAAGAATATTTCAATAAGTTGATTAATTGACTTTTCCTACCAAAAACTGCATTACACTAGAAACTTAGCTAGAGGTCAATCTCAGACGTTTTGATAATGTCTTTTGTTGGATATAAGGGGGTTGAAACCAGCACTGGTCTAACTTGTGAAAGCAATGGTACATTCATTAGAATTCTTCTCTCTCGCCTAGCAAACAATCCAATTAGCAACTGGGAGCCGCGGTGGCTCAGTGAGTTAGACGCTTGCTCGCTAACCTGAAGGTCCAGGATTCAATCCCGGCATAGGTCGAGATAATACCTTCGGATTTGGCTGTGCACGTTAAAGATTCCTCGACAGTTGGAAATTGAAAAAGAGAAGGCTAATGCCGCTGTCCTGGCAAAATTTCCCTCATTGCACCCTGCATGGCATTGCCTGTCTTCATTAGCCCACATGGTGCAGAAAAGTAGGACGTAAAACTCCATTTCATTTCATTTCCAATTAGCAACTGACAGAACTGACTGCCATTGACCAGTGGCTGCTCCGGCCCCCCGTGACTGGAGGTATAGGGGGGAATACTGACTCAATAGAGGTTCAAAATGCGTATACTCTATGGAGGCGTCATAGTTGCAAGCCACACATGAAGCGTCTAAGAAGGTTCTCCCAAGAAAATTCTCACCTATATTTTGGGGCAAAAAAGTATAAATGTCGTATTCTTAGATTTGATAAAAATAAAGTGGCGGTACAACTAAGGGTGACAACTATTTTACCTGTTCCCCCACTGCCCCTGCCGCTGCCATTTACCTCATTATTTCTGACGTGTTTTTGTAGATTGTTTTATTGTGTATGATTTAAATGGAGATGGCTACATATCTAGAGAAGAAATGTTTCACATGTTAAAGCCATGTGTTGTTAAGGTAATTCAACATAGAATTTTCTTAAATTTACAAACTGAATATACCAAGAATAACTGAGTTATCTCCCTTTAGTCTCCAGAGAGGTTAACCCTTTAAACACTATTGGTTGCTCCACCATTCATAAGCTGCATAAAATACTAATGGCCTTTGTTACCAGCTGACATCATATTACTTGAACTCAACTAAGAGTTCAGGCAGTGTATTCACAAAACCATTCTTAGTGCTAGGATGTCCTAGAGTCTTAACTTCTAACACTGTTTCTAGGATGTGCTGGGGGTCTTAACTGTTTCTAGGATGTGCTGGGGTCATAACTTCTAACACTGTTTCTTGGATGTGCTGGGGTCTTAACTTCTAACACTGTTTCTAGGATGTGCTGGGGTCTTAACTTGTAACACTGTTTCTAGGATGTCCTGTTTCTAGGATGTCTTGGTGTCTTAACTTCTGACACTGTTTCTTGGATGTGCTGGGGTCTTAACTTCTAACACTGTTTCTAGGATGTCCTGTTTCTAGGATGTCCTAGAGTCTTAACGTCTAACACTGTTTCTTGAATGTCCTGTTTCTAGGATGTCCTAGGGTCTTAACTTCTAACACTGTTTCTAGGATGTCCTAGAGTCTTAACTTCTAACACTGTTTCTAGGATGTCCTGTTTCTAGGATGTGCTGGGGTCATAACTTCTAACACTGTTTCTAGGATGTCCTGTTTCTAGGATGTCCTAGAGTCTTAACTTTTAACACTGTTTCTAGGATGTGCTGGGGTCTTAACTTCTAACACTGTTTCTAGGATGTGCTGGGGTCTTAACTGTTTCTAGGATGTCCTAGAGTCTTAACTTCTAACACTGTTTCTAGGATGTGCTGGGGTCTTAACTTCTAACACTGTTTCTAGGATGTGCTGGGGTCTTAACTGTTTCTAGGATGTCCTGTTTCTAGGATGTCCTGTTTCTAGGATGTCCTGTTTCTAGGATGTCCTAGAGTCTTAACTTCTAACACTGTTTCTAGGATGTCCTGTTTCTAAGATGTCCTAGAGTCTTAACTTCTAACACTGTTTCTAGGATGTGCTGGGGTCTTAACTTCTAACACTGTTTCTAGGATGTCCTGGCCATGTATTCTCGAAATGATCTTAGCTCTAGGATATCCAGAAACAGTATTAGTAGTTAAGACCCTAGGACATCCTTGAGCCAAGATTGTTTTGAGAATAAGCTACCAGGGTATGGAGCTTTATTTTACATTTCTCAAAGGAAACCTGATATAGTACAATTCCCAATTTCTTTAAATATTATTCCAGTCTTTCAATTTCAATGATCAAAACAAGAAATGTGAGACTAAGATCACAAATAAAGGTTATAATATCACTTCAATTCATGTAGGTATGTTAATTTTTTCAGCAATCATCTGAAGAAGACCCAGATGAAGGTGTAAAAGAATTAGTAGAAATTGCTTTGAAAAAATTTGTAAGTTCCGTATATGCTCTAATAATAACCAAGATCTCAAGTGAATGTTCAAGACTACACAACAGTTATATATTCAAAAGAACTCGACAGTTGGAAATCGGAAAAGAACAGACAAATGCTACTGCCCTGGCAAAATTTCCCTCATTGCGCCCTGTATGGCGTTGCTTGTCAGTCTTCATTAGCCCACCTGGTGAAGAAAAATAGGACCTAAAAATCTGCTCTAAAGAGTAAACTAATGCCTCTTTCGTGATAAAATATTATCAATGCACACTGAATGTGCTAACCACAAGGTCAAATCAAGGGTTCAATCCTGGAAAAGGTCAACCATTACAGCAACAATTTCCATTTTTTCTTACTTAATAATTTTGTTGTTTATCTCAGGATTTAGATCATGATGGCCGATGTTCTGTAGCTGATTTCCGGGGAGCTGTGCATACAGAATCTTTATTATTGGAGGGTCTGGGTCACTGTTTACCTAGTGATACTGTAAGTATACCATAAACATACTGTTACATAGAATCTTCTGTTGTCTGAGTCCAAAGGAATTCTGTATACTAATGGTTTCCATCTTTTTTTCCACAATAATGTTCAGGAAATCAGAACGGTGTAAACAGAAGCATTAAGTAAGGGTCCATGCCCATTAACAATCCTTGTTGTATCCATGGATACAGACCACAGCAAATCTTCTAGATAAAAAAAAGAGTTGTCTCCCATTAGTCTTCAAGCAAATGAACCAACTCTAGCACATCTATAAACATTCTCAGTTTGCCAGGTTCAAATCTTCTTAAAGGCAAGATACAGTTGACTTCTATTCCCTGTGTTTTTGAGAGTTTGATTAGGCTTTCAATCTCTACCACTGGATATTTGTGATATGAAAATTTCATTGACACTGATAGCATTAATTTGAAGCATTCAAATTTTCAATCAGACGTCTGGTTCCTGCAATTCCACTAAAACTTAGTGTTTGATGACGTCTCTAATTGCAAAGGGCGTTATGTTATAAAGCATATTTTGCAATTAGTGATGTCATCAAACACTTAGTTTTAGTGTAAGAAACCACAGAAGACGTCTGATTGAAAATTGGAATGGTGCAAATTGATGCTATCAGTGTCCCTCATACACATACAAAATTTAGAAAACCTTTTTACAATCTCTTTAATACCTAGAGATCCTCCAGTGCCAGTAAGACTAATTATGGAATTTAATAGAATCAAATTTTAATTTTTTTTTTTTTTAGTGTAAAGCAGAATTCATGAAACTGATACATGGCAATCTGACATTAGATGATATCAAACCAGAGAAAAAATAACAACTTTTGCAAAAAATGCAAAAAATAACTGTATGAAGATATTATGAAAGTTCATCCATCACTGTTAAAATAACTGGCGTGCATTGTTCCATTTATTTAGATATTTTCACAGGTGTTCAGAAAAACAATTTATTCAAAATTAAGCCAGTATTGTGGTAGATAAAAAAAAAAAATACCAATGGAAATGTCAATGCTCAAAATCTGTAATTTTTACAGCGCAATTACAGACAATTAATGTGCACCAAAAGCAATAGATAACTGTTCCCAACTTGGAGAACCACAAGAATTTTCCTTAATTCTGAACTATGTTGAAATGTCCTTTATTCCAGGGAGATATTCCATTGAAATTAAATTGTACATAATTGTAAAAATGAATATAAATTATTTTTAATTTGAATCATGCTCAATAAAAGCACTCCCCCTTCTGCTGAAAAAATGTACGTTAGAATTTTCCCATTTCTTTGTGTAAAGAGCTCTCTCTCTCTCTCTGGCCCAATGTTTTATTGTTTTTATATGTATTGTTTTTGTATATTTCTCCATTATTCATAGTAAACTGTATGAAGAATAATACCAAAGTTTTTTTGGGTGGTCCGAGTCCTATTGTCTAGAGGCGTTTTTTGTGGGCCGATTCGATTAGGTAGTACGATTTGGTGCAATTTGGTTTAGATTAGCAGTGGTCCACAAATACGAAATTCAAATCGGCGATTTGGCAATGTGGCTGCCTCCGCTGACAACCAATGAAAGACCGCTATTTTTATTACATTAGCAACATCCACATGCCGCCATCTTGGAAAAGCCTAATCGAATCGCCTAACCACCTCCTGGGACGATTAGCCAAACCAGTTTAGGTAAACTGGCTCACAAATGTACTGATTAGCCTAATCGTCCTGGCTCACAAACGCACAAAATAGCTAATCTACCTAATCGAATCGGCCCACAAAAACACCTTAAAGCTCATCTCATTCTGTGGTCACATGTTCAAGATAAACAATGTTCATCAGGACAGCTAGTATTGGAACTTTACAATATTGGACTGCTAGGGTAAACGTATTGTAAGGAAACTCATTGAACAGTAGCAAGAAGTCATTGAAATTAATGAGTACAGAAATTCTTGACTTGTGTATTTAATTGACTAGAGCTCCATTTCCATTCTTGGGCATTTCTAAATCTCTAAAATAACATTTTTGTAACCACACCCCTTTTTAAAGGGATATGTTCGCCATCAGTTGGTCCAATCAACCATAGTCTCAGAAACGGGGATATTAATGGTCAGTAATAGTTTTCATAGATCTCCATCGAAATTTGAGCCATTCAAATCTATGTATGTCCAGAATTATCTGCGTTTGATTGTTAAAATGACGACTCGTCTTTTCTTGAGACTGCCATATATAGAAAAGACATTAATAGAAAGCCCAAGGAGGCTGAGCAGGTTTGGGGGCTCATTTGCCCCCCTAGAAAAGTGGTTTGCACCACCACTTTATTTTTCAACAAATCTAAATGTCTGCCTTTTTTCTCCAACATATGTGTCAGAATGCACAAAATCTATTCTTTTTTTCTAAAATTTTCTTGAATGAACGCTCTTTGAGAGGCTTGAGACTATGACGCCACCACCACAGAGTAGTAAAAATTTGAATTCCGGCTCAGCGGTTGTCCCCCATTGAGTCAGTCTGCCCCTTATTTGTACCCACAGTCTCGGAAGGCTGGCGCCGCCATTAGTTCTACCAAGTTGTAAAGCAGACGGCACCCTAATTCAATGAATCACCGACTGGGCTGGGTCAAGATGATACTGAACAAGAGGGTACAGTGTCGCTTTTGATATCAAAATCCTCATGTCACCCATCTGTGTGTTAGTTCCCATGCATTCATATTTTTGGCATGTGAAATTTTTTTAAAGTCAACATTCCCGTTTAAAATTTCAACTCGCAAAACGTTGAAATGCAGTAAGTATCCGGTTCTGAACAATGAACGCATGTCGTCACTCCTTGGTTAATTGCAATCAATATAATTAAACAGGATCCTCATCATTGATTCAGCAAAACCTAATTTGTCCTAGCTTTTATTTTTCCGAGTGTCAAAACAGTCAGGTCAATAATGCTCCGTGTTCAATAAAGGCCCGGCGGATTGACAGTCGTCGTATCAATGGTAAAATCTAAACTAGCGACTGATAACATCATCTTAGCTTGTTATACGCTGAATGCTAAGCCAGGCGGTGGTTAACACTTTATTGCCCACTGAAAATAATAATTGCCCCTGCGACTTAACACCAATTTACGAAAACGAGTATGACTTATGACAGCAGTGACGCCAAGATATTTTTGAACTGTTTTTTTTCGTCAATGATCAGTGCCGTAAAAAATGAAAAAGCGTCTTGTCGTTCGGATGGGACAATAAATCGAGGCCCTATGTGCTACAGGCTGTGCACGTTAAAGATCCCTCGACAGTTGGAAATCGAAAAAGAGCAGGCTAATGCCGCTGTCCTGGCAAAATTTCCCTCATGGCGTTGCTTGTCTTCATTAGCCCACATGGTACAGAAAAGTAAAACGTAACACTCCATCCATTTGAACTCCCTTCATTTTTCTGCAAAGGGACGCCGGGGACGCCCTGATGTCCCCTGCATCCCCACTCCCCCCCCCCCCCCGCATCCCTCCCTCTTCAATGAAATCCTCGCTACGCCACTGTCCATTGCAGGAACACGTTCTAGAAACCTGCATGCTATTCAAACATACTACATGTATGTACTTCCAAATTAAAAAACGGAGGGAATTTGATTGATAATCCTGCCTTTATTAACGTAAGTAATCCCTTTGAAAAAAAATTTAAAGCACTGTGTGGCCCTCAAAAACTGTGTTCGCTTTATAAAAGCTCCATCTTATCAAACCATCTTGTTCAAATTTTGTGCAAAAAATCTAAATTATGGTGAAAAAATATCAACAACAGCGTTAATATAGCGTTAATGAAAAGTATTATTAACCCTTTACATTGCGAACTGTTCACGAAACCTATAATTATAGCACTGATAAAATCATAGGGGCGGCGTCGAGGTTCAAAGAGTTAATCTTCCCACTCTGTTTGTGAATGAAAAGACGATTTGCCACAAGACGTTTGAACAAAAGAAGTTAATTCCCTGATGAAAGGTTAATTATTGGTTAAACAAGGGAGATTACGTCACAACATTATATTTAGACGACATATAGTACCACCGGAAGTAATTTCCTGAACGACATATGCTCCAAGACGTCATGAGAAATTTTTTTTTTTGATCTTGAAGGCTGAAGTTGTTGTCAAAACAAAAATTAAAATTTTGAAATTAATTCAAGAAAATTGCTGATAGGTGCCTTGATGCTTTCCCTTTCTGAAAAAGTGTCTCACCTGTGCTTTAAGACGCTATCACCATGGAATTCGAGACATCACACCTGAATTTTGAAAAGAAATGGATTTTTTTTACTTCAATATGGCATGTAAGAAAAACTTGTCAGGTTCGCCATTTTTGATGGTTGATTTGAGTTTTGAATATACGTAAATAATCTTCAGAAGTACGCGAAATGTATGCGAAACGCATAATTCCCTTAAAAGTATTTCTAACTTAGAATATTTCTAAATAGTTCGTAACAGAGTCTCAAGAAAAGATGAGTCGTCTTTTTAACCTCCTAACGCTGATAACTCTCGGTATACATGGACTTGAAGGCTTAGACGTTGTGAACACTATCACTGATTAGCTTAGCTAAAAACTTCTCGTTTCTGAGACTAATTAAGGTACGATTGGTCACACGGTTAGCGAACCCATCCCTTTAAATACATCTCGCGATTTTAGGCTACATCGAATTTTTCAATTGATTACTTAACAACTTTCAACTAAGTTGACGTTTTGATGAAATCATTGTCCGAATAAAACGATCCAACCCCCATTCCGTCCCTTCTCAACACAAATAAGTAAATTCCTTAGTTTCCCTTTTGAACAACGATAATTCGCTTTTGTTTAGAAATTGTCACGTCATCACCAATGTTCAACTAAAATTATGATAACTATATTCATGAAAATCATTATACTAAGATAATTAAAAAGTCTAATATCGGCCTATTAATATCAATTCTAACTGAGTGTCACCGCCACACGCCGGTAAATATGTCACAGTCAATAAGCTATGTCAAGAATCATTGCTATTCATATTGGTGACAGTTCCGTTTTGTCAGT